TTTTTTTTTCCAGTTTCAGTTTTTAGACTTTAGCGTTTTAATTAAGAATTTGTTGGGTGTTGTGTGAACAAAGATTGTGTTTGGATGTAAAATTTTACTTATGGTTTTTGATTTGATGTTGAAAATACACATGGGATTTTCGATGCATCCCAACTGATCAAAGTTCAGGTGCTCCTGCAAATCTGTCAATGAAATCGAAATATGTATTATATCTGAAAGGTGATACACATCCAAAGTCATAGTAATGGGCAAGATAATATATGACTAGGTGGACTTGGTCACCATATACAATTATGTTTCGACTTTCAAACACATACCAAGTGGTCGTACACAAACATGGCTTGAAAACATTGTCTGCTAACATAAAATAAAATCAGCGGCCTAAAGCCTTAACCATTGAGGCACCACCCAAATACAGGCCCATGAGTGGGCCCGCCAGGAGCATTTGAGTAAGAGGGTCGGTCGAGGGGGTGAGTATAGCAGCCGCTATTACTGAACCAACCACCACATATCTCCATATAGACAACATTTGGTCTGACGAGACTAGCCCAAGTTGTCCAAGAAGAAGCTGTATTACTGGGACCTGAAGAAAGGGGAAATTTTGTAGCTAGTCAGTTTTCAAATATCATGATGTAAGAATAGCTGACTGGTAAATGATTTTTTTTTTTTTTTCTTTTTTCCAGATATAGATTCCCTCCAAGAGAAATATAAACAAATTTAATAATTGTAATTGGAAAATAGAGAATCAATTAGCTCTGACTAGTTCACCTTTCTTTTTAGGAAATGTGTTGCACATTCTTGAGAAAAACTAAAGGTACTAGCGATGTTCTGAATTGCAAATAAGTCCCAAGTTTAGGGTATATAGGAAAATCAAGAACGGGCCACGATGTGTAATTGGAATGACACCACTAAGGATTAAATATATGAATGCAACCAAAACACATAAGAAGCCTACGGATGTATCTCAAATCAAACACAGAACTTACAGAAGTAAAGACCGAAAACAGTTGAATGCTTATTAACTTACCTTTTAATAGACAGCAAGAAATGAGAATAGTAGTCACCGTTGGTCAAAAGTCAACACCAATTTGTAAGACAAAAGATACACAACATCAAGATCCAAATAGTTATCGTCAAAGGAGAAATGATGTACGTTAAGAGTAAAACATTACCTGGAAAGACAACCCGGTACTTAACATGAGGACAAGGACAAACTCGAAGTATTGATCAATGGACCACAATGATTCAACTACACCTTCTGCATAGCTAACAAAGAAATTCAATGCTGCCGGCGTAAGAACATAGTAAGAGAATGTGATGCCAGCATAGAAAAGGATCGAGGACCCAAGGACGATCGGCCCCAGAAATCTTCTCTCTGCCTTTGTTAGCCCTGGAAGAATAAAAGCTATGATCTCATACAGAATTACGGGGCTTCCTAACAGAAGCCCACAATATCCTGATACCTGCATTAAAGATGATATTAATTGTTTAGAGCAAAAATATTACCCATAAAATCTAATTCATAACAAGGATCAGAGAGAAAAAAAAAAAAGGAAAAAAGACATTATCTTTACAGAGGTAATAGGCCACGTGGTCATCAACAATGCAAAAATAAAACATAGAAACTCGTCGGCTTGAATGAACTATAACAAGCATGTCCATTCTTGAAGCTTATAGACTATGTAGCACGCATCTCCAAGGCAATAACGAAAATATGAGTGAATGTTTTTCCAAGAGGACAAATAAGGTAAAGAGAAGGCACAGAAGAAAACAAACTTGTAACATGCAATGAATTAGTATTTGACCACTACTAAATTTTCTGAGTTTGGCTACAGGAGTGTTCTCTGTCTGCATTGAAAGAATAGGATTGCATAACAACAGTTGCTCGTCAAGGCAAGTTGGAGTTATAAAAGATCCTTCATAAATCCACGTAGCTTATCTACTGTATTTTTAAATGTTAAGAATAACATTTGCAAGTCATAGTAAGCCGTTTCAGGTAGTACCACTTAGACTATTGTCAACATTTAAATAAGCAGACATTGCAATTATGGATAACACAAGTGAATGGAAGTTGCAATTACAGCTGACTAGAATTTTTATTTTTTCCCAAAGAGTGGAATACTCAACCAAATATTTTCTACTGGTAAGAGAGGTATAATTTCAAAATGAACAATTGAAGAATAGATTATCTAGCTCAAACCTTAAGGGTTGTGAAGAAAAATTCTCCAGGGGCTAACTGCAAAAAACGGACCCCTTGCGCTTTAACTGGAGCTTCAAGAAACATGATGAGCTCCTTAGAAAACGCAAAACAACCAACCATAGCAGCTCCTACGGCCAAAACCGACACAAAGATTCTCTCTCTCAACTCCTCTAAATGGTCATATATACTCATTTCTTTGTCATCTGGGAGGAGCTCTTTACTCGGATAGAGAAAATTATAAATAGAGTTTCCTCCGTCATCTGAGTCATTGTTCAGAAAAGGATTTTGTAACACTTCATCACTCGCATCTGCAATTCCAAAAGCGAAGTGTTTTAGCATGGTCTTAATGGTAACCATATTTTTCTTTTTTGTAACTTGTCCCCAATCAAAGATGGTATAACAGCTAGCATTGTTCAAGCCACGTGCCAGATAAACACGTCCACAAACTATGTTGGATCTAGAGCAGGAAATGCAGTATGCAGCACAATCAAGTCACTGTAAAAGATTCTAGGAAATTCATAAATTTTTATTTTCATCCAATTTTGCATTTCTCAAAATCTCTAGCCTTAGGCTCAACCTGCTCGAATTCAAGAACAACTCAGAGTAAATAATGATATACCCAGTTAAAACCAATTATCATCAAAACAGTGTTCATTCTTCCAAGAAGATAGCTGCATCAATACTACAGTTGAAGACACCATAACAAGAGAGAAAAAAACATCACTTTGTGACCCCAATATGTAATCAATTCGACTTAATAACCAAAACCCTCATATATAATCAGCTCAAATTTATGCTCAACATAGTCAGATCGAAGCCAGCTCCTTTCAGAATTTCGCAGTTAGCCAATTGAACTACCAACAATAACCAAATCAAACTATTTCTTGAACAGGAACAAATCTCAGTTGAAAGAAAAGCGTTCTAGCGTGTACCGAGTTTGTCTTCAACAGCGGGGCCAGCGCCATTTAAACTGCCGCCATTGATTTCGCGCTGCTTGTTGGGAGAGTCTTCAGCGGCCGAACAAACTATTGTCTTAAATCTCCTGAATTCGTTTATGGGTTTCGCCGGATTAAAGAGCAGAACATTTCTAGAGCGGGCGAATGAGTTTAGGCATTTGAAACAAAGAGCGTTGCTGTTGAGGTGTGGGCTGCGGATGAGAGTTCCCATGGCTGCCGTGTTTTCTGGTGCGTGGGAATAGTGAAATACAGATGGATTTGAGCGAGCACCAGAATGTATTGAACGTTGAGGATTAGTGTTCGCGAGCTTGATGATGATGGGCGATATTTTGGTTGAGACATACGGGACAATATACAAATTATTTATTTTTGTTATTTTTTTTTTTTATTTTTATTTTATTTTTTTTTTTTATGTATGTTTAATATTTTATAAGTTAAAAATAGGGATTTTTTCAATACAAGACCTGAAAGATATGTAAACTATCAATTCGGGGCCTGAAAGATTTTTTTTCTCAATTCGGGACCTGAATGTTATAAAACTATCAAATTAAGTCTACAATTAACAAACACTCATAAAACCATTAAATTGAGAGTTAATTTTAAGTTTTAAAACACCAAATTTGAAGAAAAATAAAAGATTGTTGCTTACTCACATAAAATAATAAGTAAACATTTACATAATATTAAAAAAAAACATATTTGGTGTTTTAAAACTAACTCTCAATTTAATGGTTTTATGAGTGTTTGTTAATTGTAGGACTTAATTTCATAGTTTTATAACATTTAGGTCCCGAATTGAGAAAAAAAATCTTTCAGGCCCCGAATTGATAGTTTACTCATCTTTCATGTCTTGTATTGAAAAAACCCCTTAAAAATAGTATATGTAAATTTATAAAATCAGTTATTGATTCAACAATTTACCTGATGATCCGATGATTGAACCGATAATCTAGGGGGCGTTTGTGTATAGATTAAATCAGTTATAACCTAACTTAATGAGTTAAAGTGAATTATTTTGAAACTTGGTAAGTTAAAATGAGTTATTATGAATAAAGTATATTTAAAATTAAATAATATTTAAAATATAATGATTAAGATTATATGATGTAAAAGTAAGAGAGCTTACAAGAAGTGACTAATAATTATGTAACTGTATGGATAATGAATTAAAATTGATGTGATATGTAAAAATGATTGGATAGAATAATTTGAATGGATATGGAATATGAAATGACTTGATCGGTTATAACATGTTAAGTTGGATCATAACTCATACCAATTACGTCTAGGGGTGAGCATCTGTATGGTTCAGTGCAAAACCGCACCGAACCGCAAAAACCCGTTCAAACCGAACCGAACCGTTGTGGAGAAAAAATAAACCAAAACCGCACGTTTTTGTGTTGTTCGATCTGATTAACTTCAAGTAAAAAAATAATAAAAAAAAAATTGTAACAAAAGAAAAACCAAAATAAAGTTGTTTAATAAATTATATATATATACCTATAATATATATGCACATATATATATATATATATATATATATTGGTGCAATATATTATATAATAGTACAATATCCGTGTACTACACGAGTACTTAAATATATTAATATTTGTACAGTAAAAATTAAATATAATTTTTTTTTTTGTAAAATTGATGAATATGCAACAATAATAAATAACTAACAAAATGATAATTTATTCAAATGGTGCCCGCATTTTTACACTAAATTGTCAAAAAAGATGTTTTAATTGTATTTTTAAATTATATATGTATAAAAAAGTTTTATTGTATTGTAATTATATTTTATATTTATAGAGTATGTTTGTAACACCCCATATCAGAGTACGCGATTTTCGCAATTTTCTGAATAAAATATTTATTTTGCGAAAACTGATTCGGGATGCTACCGTGAAAAACTTGATTTTTCTAAACCGTTTAAAATTTTAAACAGATACATAAAAACAATCATAACGTCTTATCCGACTAACGTCGGAGCAAAACTGATAATAATTACTGAAAGTCTTAGCGGAAACAAGCGTGGCTAAACATAAATACAATAATCATAAATATCCTGAACAGCTCGCCCGCTCACTCCTCGTCTCCGACCCTGCGACCTGAAAAAAAAACATGAAATGCATGGGGGCGTGAGCACTAAAACACTTGTGCTCCGCAGAAACTCATACTAATGTAAACATCGTAAATAATAACAATATCATGAACTAAGCATATACAACTGAACTGAAACTGAAACTGATATCTGAAACTGGTCTGATCTCGCGACATAATTCACGTAACTGATAATTGAAATCTGTCGGCACAAACTAATACCGCAATCTCCCGGCACAAACTAATACCGGA